CACAATCCTGGGTCTTCAAGCCTTCATCAGGTTTGAACCCTTTTAAGTAGCATGACTAAAACTGTAGCAGGGACCTGCAGGTTTCTTCAATGTCTGTGTTCACTACTTTCCTCCTGGAAAGGAAGTTTCTGGCTCTCACAGCAGATCTCTGCTCAGCTTTCTTATCCATTTCTTTCCAGGAATCTTTTGTTCTTTCTGAAGTTAACAGTAAATAGTTACCTAATACTACAGAGACCTGCTTCTTCTTGTCATGAAACAAAATAAAATACTATTGGCAATTGCATTTCAATAGAAAGTTATAAAATCAGGAAGAAAAGATTTGTTTGGAAACAATGGAAAGATTTAAAAGACAAACTCAAATCCATTTGTAAATATAACCCAGTACAAAATATTCTGGTACTTAGTCCTGCAGTATAATATAGTGTATGCATCTATTGATCACTTGCTGGAAAGCAGCAGAGCTGTATCCTTAAAAAAATGGAATTTTCTTTCCTTTCAGATAATGAACAGCTTCCAGAATGGAGCTGTGACCCAGAGGTTTAGAGGCTGGTACAGGATTAAGAAAAAATTGTTGACTAGGAAGGAAAAAGAAAGGAATTTTTGTGGGGAAGAAAATGGCCTGTAAAAGCTGTACAAAAGCATAGTCAATTAGCTGCTGGAATGACTAATTTCTGGGTGGGCGGATCTGAGCAGACTGCAGAAACCTGTGTTAAGCCCCGAGGCTCTGCTCCCAGCACGTGGGAGAAGTGCCTCAGCAAGGGAGCCAAAAGCATGAGCACATCTGCTGGGGAGCTTTGTGACACAGGCATGGGGCATGGACCAGAGGAGGCCAGGCAAGCTCTGAACCTCCCCTGGGCTGCAGTCATGAACCCTTTTCAGCAAAATAGAGCCCTCAGTCCTTCCCTCCAGGTACCTGAGCAGCAGTCAGCTTTTAATTTTTACTTAAAAGCTTCTCTGAGCACTGCTGAGTGGTTAAGGCAGGGGAGATGTGCCAGCAGGACTTTCACTCTGCTGGTGGTGAGCATCACCTGCTGCCTCACAGGGCAGGAGGAGGAGACTCTCCCTCAGGGAAGAGCATGAGGGTAAGAAGGAGGAGGAGAAGGAGAAGGAAAAGGAGGAGGAGAAAATGATGGAGGAGGTGCTCCCTCTTGTTCTCTGCTGTCACCTTTTCAGCCTGTTGCAGAGAACGTTGTCCAAGAGAGAGGACCAGAGCAACTATCATACTTCTACTGTTCAGTGGTTTGGGAACTCACCTGGCAAGAAATATCTTTTCAACTATGCCAGCTGTGTGTTTTGTATTAAATAGTCTGTATTAAATGACTAAGGTACAGAATGTGTCCTTACCATGTCTCTGGGACACAGATACCTGCAGGACTGGCCATACACTCCGTCTACCAGGCCAGAGAGATGTGTTGCTTCTCATGCACCCTTTTCCAGGGTGCTTCTCATGCCCTTTTCCAGGCCTCCTCAGCCCCAGGAGCACCTGCCACGATGGAGGGAGTCACTGTCAGGTGCCCTGGGTTCCTGCTGTTTGGTGCACGCAGCTGGCGTGGGTGGGTTTCACTCAGGGGAAGGTTTGAACACAATTTCCCAGCTCTTACAGAAGCATTTCACATTGAGGCTGTTACATAAAAGACAGGTAACATCTCCTCCTCCTCCCCTGCCCGCCTTCTGTAAGGAACCCAGCAGCTAAAATGTGTTTTGTGAAAAGCTGGATCTTGACACTCCAGGTCAAGTGTTGAAAGTGCACAAGTGTAGGATGCTCAGAGGGTTTGGGGAAAGAAATCTTCCTGTGTTCAGCCCCAAACTGGGGTTACTGGGAATATAAACAGTGTACTTGACTTGATGAAATTTTTTTCAGTTTTTTTCCTTGAACTTTAAGGTAAAATAATGAGGAATATTCCCAGCTAAAACTGCAGCATAAGTGGCCATGAGTGACTTTAGGGTTAGGTAACATTATGCTTGTTTTTTCCTGTATGCACACTCAAAAATCAGATTTCAATATGTCATTTTAAAAATTGAAGACTGTTGGCAGTAGCCCACTAGATTTCAAAATGGCAACTGCAGATATTGGAGTATTTTAATCCACAAAATTGATCTGATGTTAATATAAATTTATCTTTTTATTTATATTTATATTTATATTTATATTTTCTCTGTATTGCAAAAATTCCTATTGGCTGATTTGCTGCTTAGATGACTTTCTCACCTCTGCCTTTAAGACTTGCCTAATTTGTAACTCATCACAAATTATTATGATTTCCTATATTGCCATTTGCTGGTAACATATTTTCCCATACATTTTTTTCCTTTAAGATAGCTAGGTCAAATGTGCTCAAGCCACAACTGCTAGCTTATATATTCCAAGCTCTCTTTTATGTTCTTTTCTTTTCCCCTACCTCCCTATATAGTTTCTTAAATTATCTCATCATATATAAGATATTGAGGCCTAAAAATTGAAATTAAATGGCAGGTTTAAAACAGGTCTACCATCTCTGTAGCTTGAACTTTGAGTTACAAAAGTTTACTGAGTGAAGGAAATACACAATATATTCTGGATAAACTGTATGTTCATAGTGAAAATTAATAATACTGAGAAAGAAAATTAATGGATTTAAAGATACTAAAGTGACTCTGTTCAGATGCTTTTAGGTTAAATAATATATTCTGAAAAGTCACTTTTGTTCTATGCTAAGGTGGGAGCTATATGTTAATTTCTTTTATTCCTGGATCATTTTCTCTCTGAGGTGTCATCAAGTTGAGTTTTCAGGACTACATTGAAATGAATATTCATCACAGAGTTACAGCTTTTGAAAAATCTGTAGGGAAAAAGAAAAAAAAGCCCTGAACCCCTTTTCTTCCCCCTGTTCATGCAGCTCTGAACACAGCTCCCCTGGGTTAGCAAAGCAGCACAGAGCATCCATGTGCTTCTGGGCAGGGGCTTTGAGCTCGGCAGGTGTCCCCTCACGTGGGACCGAGAGGTCAGAACAAATGTCAGAGTTTTGAGGGCTGGGGCTGCAGGAACAATGAGAGCAGTGAGGGGCAGCCCTGGCACTCCCTCAAGGACACAAAGGTACCTGAGCTCACCATGGTCAGGCAGAGCCCCTTTGGGGAGGTTACAAAGCAGCTTTGGGCTGCTGGACCAGCACTGCTGTGAGCAGCCCTCCAGCACTGAAAAACCTACAGGTTTTCAGAAAAATGGACAAAATGGCATTAATGGGTGAGTGAAATTATGTGGTTATTGGACTGGGAGCAGGGAGTTTATGAAACAAGAGTGAAATGTAGGGTATGTCATAGCTCTCATTGCTCAATAATGTAATTTTAGAGATCAGATTGATAAAATGAGTAACAAGGTGAATCCCTTGCCTCACAAGACTGGTGGAGCTTTTCACCAACATTCTCTTTAAAAGCTATGTTTTAAAAGCAATTTCAATGCTGTGGAGAACAACACTGCCATTAATTGCACAGGGGGTTTGCAATTTACAACTAAGGGGAAACACTTTCACAAGGGTGAGACTGGGAAGGTGCAGCTGAACCCTTCCAAAAGCTCAGAAGATGGAGCCTCTACCTGCTCCTCACCTCCTGCTGTTTCCACTGCAATCACTAGAATGCCCTGGATGGGATATAAAGTATTTGTCCAGACATAAAATTGCCATTTTATTGCCATGTTATGAACACTTCTGATTTTTTTTTTCTAATCTTAGCACAGATTCTTTCCATTTTATAATAATACATGGACTTCTGGGCTCAATGAACAATAAAAAGGGTGCATTTAGTGCCACATAGTGGTAAGAAACCAAAAAAATCAGTGAGGCTGGATATTCTGAAGCAATGCAGAACATTAGGTGTTAATGCTAAACTTGTAAAAGTAAAAATACATTTTAAAAAATTAGGATATACTGATCAATTTGTGATCTGTATCACCAAGATTTCTTTGTCTGAGGATGGTTTATACCACTAGCTAGATAAATGTGCAATATAGGAATTTTTGGACTCTGTGTTTAGAATTAGCTTGCTTTGCAACAGCAAAGAAGAGTATTTTGCTCATTTATAGCCTTGACAACATGGTAGTGGGATTGGCCCTTGCAAGTGGCACAGCAGCCACAGGGCAGAGCCATGCTGGATTAGAGCTGTAAAGGTATCTCAAAAATGGCAGTAATATGGAGCAGTCTCTGAAGAAAAGGCTAATTTGAGATCTCCAGACTGGGAAGACTTTTGCACATTTTTGTGATGAGTAGTTTTCTTGCTCAGGTGCTGCAGAAAAACATTGCTGTTGTCAATAAGACAGGTAATGGTGCTTCTGCAAGTGTAATAGATGTGTTGCAATTCATCTCCAGCCATCCAGCACCAGAGCAAGCTAAATGAAACAAAACCTGTAATGGTTAAAACAGGCTGAAATGAACTAGGCTGAAATAAGCTAATAAGACCAAAATTTCCCATCAAGCTCCCCCAAAGATGAATACACCTATACAAGGTATATTTGTGTAGGGTTGGATCAAACCTGTGGTATAAATTCAGATTCAGGAAACACAGGGAAACTGAGCTGCTGTTCCTGCTTTTGCTGTGCTGCACGATCTTTCAGGGGCTCCAGAGGGACTTGTGGCACCTCTACCTACACAGCACATTTGCACACACAGTAGGACAGGGAAATATTTGGCTGCTGGCATAGCATAGGAATAGCATTGAACAGTACTGTTCTGTAGAAAAAGGAACTAAATTTAATCTTTTTGCAGTTTGTATGGGGATGCTCTCTGGCAAAGTGCTTCAAAATATAGATTTGATTCTGTGTACAGTCTTGCTTCAGTTGCAAAGTTCAGCTGATGTCTGTTGCCTCTCCTCTGAAAGCAAATTCTGCCACTTGCCCACACAGACACTTTTCAGCTAAGGAAGCAACAATTGCTGCCATTTTTGCTTCAGGCAAAAATACTATGGCGCACTATTTGGGAGGATATTTAAATTTATTTCAAAGTAATATCAATATATTGGTACAAAAGCCTTATGGTGTCAGAGAAAATAAATGTATGTGATCTGGGTGAGATGGCTCACTAGCACACAAATCTGCACAGAATCCTCCATGCTGAAAAAAACCCCAGAAAAGGTGTTTGGGGTTGTTTTGTTGTTTTAACCAAGAAAGAATCTACAAGGCAGCCCTGCAACAACCACACAGCTGAGGGTACCAAACAGGCTCAAAGGCAGGGCCAGTGAGCCTGTCCTGTACAGCTGTGCTGGCACACGTGTGGATTTGGGATGCCTCCCAGAGATGCTGGTGTATAAAACAGCCTCCAGCTGATTCATGGCTCCAGCAGCCCTTCTTCTTGTGCAGCTTCTGCATTGGTATGAGCATTGAACCTTTTGGCTAAGAAAAGAATTTTAATGCCAGAGAAAGGCATTAAAATTAAAATAACTCAGTGTGAGTTAGTAGGAGTCATTAAACCCAGGCTGTTCCACAAATGAGAGGAAATTAGCATTCAGGATAGGGAATAAGCTCAGTAGGGTTTATTTTTACAGTCCAACATGCTTGAAAACTTCACAGCAGTACATGGAAGGAGTGAAGGGATCCATATCACTGGCATATGGAGCACATGCAAAGACAGCTTTTGTGAGTAGTTTGACAGCTATTTGGCTGCATTCTGCTCAAAATATTTGTGACAGCAGCCAGTCAGAGCTGCCACAAAGATGACAAATTCTTTGAAGTCCACTTGGGAATCTCCATTTTCATCCAGGTTCTTGAAGACTTTATCAATAGCATTCCTGTCCTTCCCAGTCTGCAAAAGAAAAACAGCAGGTTGAGGTGAGGGGATGCACAACTCCAATGCAGCAGCTTCTCCAGACAAGGTCCTTGGTTGGGCTCTGGGCACTTGGAAAGGTGCCATGTGCTCCCGCTGTCTGCACAGCAGCAGGGAGTGCTAAAACCATGTGCCTCTGGGTTTATTGCACCTGAGAGCTGCAGTCAGGCACTGTCCCAGAGAGGCATGGTTGCTACATTTAAAACAACATTTATCACCATTAAAACTATTAAAAACCATTAAAACAAAGCCCTGAGGACAACACCCAGATGAATTAAATGCTATGAGTTCCCCTTTCATTCCCCTGGAAAGGCTCAGCTGGAGCACAGGCAGTTTGCAGTTTTGTAAAAAGATGCTTTCCTGGGGCAAATGTATAATTTAAGCTTCATTGAATACTTCCACCCCAGAAAATATGCAAACAGCCTCGAAAGTGCTTTGAGTGCTGCCACTGGCCTTATTGCCCAGCAGAAGCTGCTCACAGGAGCTGGTGGCTGGGGAAGTGCCTCCTGAAGCCTGTGGGATTCTGAGCTTGAGTTACCATAGCAAATCTTTTTCTAGGTTGCCATTATCCTTCTAAGTTGCCATTATTCTGATGGAATGACTGAACACCATCAGTCACAGCCAGCAGGGCTTCATGAGAGGAAGGTCCTGCTTAGCAAACCTGATTCCCTTTTATGATAAAGTAACCCCCTTAGTTGATCAAGGGAAGCCAGTTGATGTCTTCTTTTTGGATTTCAGTAAAGCTTTCAACACTGCCTCTCAAAGATCCTTTTGGACAAAATGTCCAGGACACAGCTGGATAAATACATCATGGGATGGCTGAGCAACTCATGGCTCATTGGTGGGGCATGATGGGGGGACATCAGACTGGGGACCTGTCACTGCTGCGGTTCCACAGGGCTCCATCCTTGTCCCCGTGCTCTTCAACATCTTCATAAATGAGTTGGGGAAGGGATACAGAGCAAGTTTGCAGATGATACAAAACTGGGAAGAGCTGCTGACTCCCTCAAAGGCAGAGAGGCCCTGTGGAGACACCTCAACAAATGAGAGGGCTGGGCAATCACCAACCATATGAAGGGAACAAGAAGAGTTCTGAATTCTGTACCTGGGACAGGACAACCCTGGATGTATGGACACACTGGGGAATGAGATGCTGGAGAGCAGTGCCAGGAAAGGACCTGGGGGTCCTGGTCAGTGGCAAGTTGAATGTGAATCAGCAGTGCCCTGGCAGCCAGGAGGGCCAGCCCTGTCCTGGGGACATCAGGCACAGCATTGCCAGCCAGGCCAGGGAGGGATTGTCCTGCTCTGCTCTGCACTGGGGGGGCCTCACCCTGAGTGCTGAGGACAATTTTGGGCACCACAATACAAGAAACATCAATGACTGTTAGTGTCCAAAGGAGGGCAGTGGAGATGGTGAAGGGCCCTGAGGGGAAGCTCTGTGAGGAGGAGTGGCTGAGGGGAGGCCTCACTGCAGGTACAGCTTCCTCATGAGGGGAAGAGGAGGGGCAGACACTGATCTCTGCTCAGTGGTGACTGTGACAGGACCCCGGGGAATGGCCTGAAGTTGTATCAAGGGAGGTTTAGGTTGGGTATCAGAAAAAGGTTCATCATTCAGAGGGTTGGGCCCTGGAACAGCTCCCCAGGGAAGGGGTCACAGCACGAACCTGACAGAGCTCAGGAAGAGTTTGGACAATGCTCTCAGGCACATGGTGTGATACCTGGGGTGTCCTGTGCAGGGCCAGAGGTTTGACTCAATGATCTTTGTGGGCAGCACATTCTGTGCTTCTGTGAGTCTGGGAACCACTGCATCTCAAGGCTGACGTTAAGAAATGCATAATCAAATTTACAAGTGTTTGTATGTTTTTTGTTTTGTTTTGTTTTGGTTTTTGGTTTTTGGGTTTATTTTTTTTTTTTTTTTTTTTTTTCATTTTGCCAAAATATATTAAAAAGTAAAGAAGTTTACAGGAGGGCTTTTCGGCGCCCGTAATCTACAGGGATTTTCGCAGCTGCAATTGCAACGTTAAGCAGGAGATGGCAGCACAGACCTGTTAAATCTAGGAAACAATCGCGGGGCTTTCGCAGACGATTAAAAATTCCCTGACAATACTAGAAGGAAATTATATCAACTTCTGAAAAATTTTCTGAAAAATTTCCACCAATTTAAAACTATTACTATCTAAATTTAAATCTGAAGGCATTTTTTGATCATGTTCTAATTAACAAAATTTTTCATCCTGTAATTTAATGTTTCGCTTTAAATGCAGACCTTTTAAAATCACTAGAAATTGAACAATTTCCTCAGATTTGACAGATTAATGCATCTGGAAGGTTTAATTAATTTTCAATTCGTAAATTACATGGTTTTAATTTTATAAATGAATATTTCAAATCATTTAGTGAACTATATGAACAAGTTGTAGCATCTGAATTACTTCTGAGATGCAAAAATGGAAATTGGAAATTCCAATGGAATTTGGAAATTCTTTAAAACTGAGTCCAGTCCTTCAGTCCTGTGATATTTATGCCTGATGGATTCAAGACCCTTCCAGGAAGCTGTGATCTGTGCCAGCTATAACCAATTCTAAGGCCAAAAGTAAACACAAGAAATTAGAAAACACTGTTCCCTAGATTTTCTAGAAAATGAAAAAATACATTTATAAATGGTAGAAAAATGCAGGTAGAACTTTTTTTCTGAAGTCAGACTTATATTCTGAGGTTTCTGTCTTGTAGTTATCAGTTTGGCAAGACAGGAACAAGGAATATTATTGGTTTAAATTGGTTTAAAATATTGGCATAAAAATGTGGGAGGATTGGATTTTTTGTTTTTGTTTTTCCTAGAAGAGATAAAGCAGGAAAGGGAGATGGAGACTGGAATATAATAAGAGGACCATTAGCTAATTAGCTTCCTGGAAAATTCCAGTTTTCCCACCAGTTGTAGGAAATAGCTAGAGCCAGTAAGAGCAGCTGTGGGGAAGAGGTGGTGCCACGCCAGCAGACCACAGTCAGGACAGACCTGGGAGCACCATTCCATTTGGTAGATGCTCACTGCAGTGGCTCCCCAGTCTTATTTAGACCAAATGCCAGCTGTCTGGAGGATTTCCATGCTGTCACAGAATTATGGTTTTGTTGTTGGTTTAGTTTCTCTTTACATGGAAGTGCTGTGGGTACCACACAGCTCCATGCTCAGGAGCAGGACCCTTCTGTGATGCTGCTGGGTCACAAGAACTCATCTGGCTTACAGAGATTTCTCAGAAATATTGGGATTTACCCCCCCTGAGCCACCCAGGTCCTCATTCTGAATATTGTATCTCTTTAATTTGTGAGACATAATTGTGAGCAGGTGTGGATTTCATGTGGTGAATTCATAAAGTTTGCATGGGATGATACTGAATTCAGTATCAACTGCCCTGGCTGCAGTGCCCTGAAATAGTTGTTATAAAACTGAACAGTGCTGGATATAAAAACTGAGAGCCACACAAGGAGCATTTGGTTATAGACTTTTGCCATTTAGAATAGCAACAAAACAGTAACATTTAGAACAGTAACTAGACAGTACAAATATTACTCCAATGTGGAAAAAACAATGTTTTTAAAAGTGTTTTCTGGATTTTTAGTGAAGGGAAACAAATTTTTAAAAAACAATTGAAATTGTCTCCCTGGCAGCTAAAGCTTTTACTAGAGCATATTAAGCACTTTGAATACCTACTGAAATGCACTTTATGATTACATACAAATCTATGTTGTACAATATATCTTTCTTTTGTTGTTAAAGACAAATGCCAAACAGTTTGCTCTGAGTTCATCTGTTGTTCTGGTTTATGCATCATTTTGATGAGCATACTGAGTATGCAGTATAAATACCTAGAGAAGGTAAATGTATAAATATTTAGAGAGATTCCCCATCTGCAATCAAGATCCTCAATTGCTGACAGCACAACTACCTTCATAGAAGTTGTGACATGAAGTGAGATGATAAATCCAGGGATAAACAGAAGTAAATGAATTCTGAAGTTGAAACCAAATCTATTTCAAATCCGTTCTCCTGATATCTCAAGTGATGAATTTAGCAAACAGAGAATTGCCTTGCATGTTAAACCAGTTTTACACATTTGTGCAATACCTTTTTTAAATTTCATATTTTCCTACAAACTATTGCATATTTTTGGGTATAATGTTCCTAAAAATGTACTAAAAACAGTTTCTGCAGGCTGCTCTTGCACCCGCTACACAGAAACAGTGCCGCGCTGTTCTCTTACCGCGAGGAAATTTGGGAGCTCCTTTTCCAGCAGAGTCTTTAGTTCTGCTTTGCTGAGGGCTTGCCTGTTGCCATCAGACCTTGCATACTGGTCAAAGACAGCAATGATCATTCCCATTGCAGTTTCCAGCTGAGACATGTTGCTTCTGGAGCCTGGCTTTCTCCTGAGCAGGCACAGCCCCAGGTCTCTCTTGGAGGACGGAGCCTGCTCTTCTTCTGGGCTTCTTTATGCATCTGTGCCCTCCAATCAGTGGCTGCACACCCAGGGGACAGCCATCCATTAGCAAACACCTCTATCTGGAGTACACACCTCCATGCCAACACCTTTGCAAAACTCAAGGTTTATTGTCCTGGTGTGACTGGTACAACCAGTTGCTCACCAGTAGGAACCAGCCTCTCCTTCAAGGTACACAGCTTGACTAACACACAAAAACCAGATTTTGTTATTGGCTGTTTGCTCAAGATTTGTTCTTTCAGATATCCCTTGGGAGCAGAGGGTTGGCAGCCCAGTTTTGGTGCAGTATCAGCTTCCTCTTCAGGAGGAAATTGAGCATCTGACCTGTACCTCACCACCACAGTTAGGGACTGTGAGGGGCTGCAGGCTTGGACTGCCCTCCTGCCACACTCAGGACCTTGTTACAAACTACATCAATCACTAGCACACACTTGGGGTGGGATTCTCTGGATGAAAAACAGAGATCTGCCATGCAGACAGCTTCCACAGTCCTCCTGGGCTTGTGCTCAGGCCATAGCAGATATCTCAAACAGGTCTTATGAACCAGCATCTCTCCACAGGCAGCAAAAGGACCCCTGCATCTGCCCAGGGCCAGCAAAGGGAGCCTTGCAGAGCTGCTCCACAAAACACTTGCTCAGGTAGAGATATCTGAAGCAACAAATCTGATACTTGAGCAAACAGCCAGTATCAAAATCCATCTTCATCAGCAATAAAATAATTTGCTATTTACTTTATGCAGCGCAAATTTTGCAATAAAATGACTTTTACTGAAAACAAAAAGTCACTCTCAAGTTCTGTGTCCCTCTTTGATTGACTTTGTGGCTTGCCTGTAAACTGAGGTCCTCCATCATTAAACACCAAACTGGCTGGGCTCACAGCTACCCAGAGCAGAGCTGCCTGAGGGTCTGTGCTGGGAGCTGGGAGGCTCCTGGACAGGGGAGTACAGCTGGTGGAAGTTCATCAGCTCCAGCCACGCTGAGTTTTGAACAAGTTCTGCTTTCTGGCCAAGCACAGGGTAACTTGGTCTCTGTGAACTCCCAGTGCCTACACCAGACCTGGAGGAGCTCATTTGAGGTGAGTGACAGGTGGAGTTTACAGAATGGACACTCTCTGAGCAAATTATTTGGGGGAATCCATCAGAACTAGGCCATTCACTATTCATTCACTATTCATTGTGCATGAATAATGTTGATGGACCTCAGGGTGGAGTGTTCTCTGTAGAAGACCCTGATTGTGGATTCCCAAAATTAAACCTGAGTTTGGATGTCTTTGGATATCCTTGAAGATGCTTGCAGATAACTTTCCACTCAAAATATGCTAGAGATGAGTTAGCAAAAATTGGTTTTCTATTCAGCAAAACTTTAAAAATTAAACTCCTTTCTCTCAAATGCCTATAGCCGCCTGTTCCCCAGGCAAAGTCTCTCCTCTAACATCAACAATATCTCAGAGCAAGACTACACATCCTGTATATGTAGAAATCTAGAACTGTTCTGAAAGAATACCTCTGTGATTTTCCATCTTACATTTTCCAAACAAGTGATTTTTGCATTTCCCAAAAATCACAGCAGCACCTCAGGCTGTATACTTTATCCAAACAGTTAATGAGAATTATTTGTTCCTGACTTCAACCTTATGACATAGTTGCAACTGATTTGCATTACAGGGATAAGGGTTTTAAGTGAAGCTTCAAATTTTTCCATTAAAGTGCATGTTGAAATCTGTGGGGTTTCTTCAGAAGAAGAAACAAGAATAAAGCAAACAAGTGGCCGTGGTCAGCTATGAACATGATCTGGTCTTTGCACACACCCACACAGTGGCTCTCTCTGGTGTGTCAAGCACCAGGAACTTATCTTTGTCCTTTTCTGACATGTGTCTGCAACATGAATATTAAACATGGCCAGTAAAGAAAAATAAATTCCTGCATCTAAAGGAAAAAAAATTAAAATGAAAATGTGTATGTTATGCATTTTTATGACTTTGAATCATGAACATCAGTGTTAGCTGCACAGAAGGAAGAAAGAGTTCCCAAAAGGGCAGAGAGGGAGGTCAGCTTCAGTCAACAGGATGTGTCAGTATGTCCACAACTCTCCCACGTAATGTGGCAAGAAGGTGTTCTCACACATTTTCCCCTGCAAACATGGGTGACTCACAGCTTTTGATGATATGGCTGCAAAAGTGCTAAAACACAGAATAAACCACAGAGCTTGAATTTCTACTAACGGAAAGGTCACCATGGTAGTGCTGTCTGGTTGGGTTTGTTTATTTCTGATGTGCATTTTACCTGAATTCATGCACATGCACACGCATCAGTACTGCTCAGAGTTTTCAATTCACACTTTCTGTACTGTTTAAATATTTTCTTATGATTTGTTTGTCATTAAGAATTGCAGCTTTGTGCACACAGCTCAGACTATTACAGCTGTTTGCAAAACCAAAACAGAGTACAAATAGAAAGCCCACATAGGAGAGCTGGCAGTATTTTGATGCTAATCCATCTGTCCAGCTCCCCAGTGAGAAAAGTCATTTCTGTGGGCTTGTTTAAATTTTGTATTATAATTATAATATAAATAATAGTCGTTATTTGTTCCTTTCAGGTTTCTTTCATTGAAGAATGGTATAGGCAACAGTTTGGATGAGCATTTACTGAGTGTTTATACAGAATTAGGTCTTGCTGTTCCTAGCTTGGACCAAAATTTTAAATTATATATGTGATACAAATATATATGTGGACATGCATAATTTTCAAAACCCATTCAGGTGTACTCCAATTTTATGGCATTTGTTCAGATATTCAGGCTTACATGAGATTTGTGTGACCCTGTGCTAATATGCTCTTGGACAATAAATTTTGTTCCATGCTCTTTTGCAGCAATGTCTGTTTTGGAAAAATCTGAAGAAATACATTTTTCAGTTGTACTGTAAAGGTCCATTTGTGTCACAGCCAGATAACACTTGAAATGGGACAGTTGAAATGGTAAACTTCTACTAGAGCTTTTCATGCCTTACACCTTATCTTATTCCTAAAGGTGCAGGAAGCTACATGAGAAGGACTTTTTGACAATTTCCATAAATCTGGGTGTATCTGGGTGGAAGAAGCACGGGAGGAAGAAAATATAACCTGAAATTATGAACTTGTTATTTTTCTGGTTTCTTGGCAGCAATATGAAAAGCAATTTATTTTCTTCTTAGCTAGAGAGTAACATTTGAACAACAAACAAACATTTCATTTTCCACATTGAGATAAAATTATCAAAGTCCCTGAATTTTCCACTGTCCTGGACAGTCTGTTGAACTTCAAGCATAAACACATTTCATTTACTTTGCACTGCTTCTCAAAATTTTCTGTAAGTCTGGTTAAATTTTTAAAGATAATTTCATTTCCACAATACACAGTGAATTTATTTAAATGATGCAATTACTACATTGCTTAGCAGAGAAAGTAAAACAAGAGCAGACTAAACAGGCACTGGTGGGGCACAGGCAGAAGAGGAGTTCATACAAGCACAGTGTGTTCAGTGACACACTGGATAGGCTCTGTTATTACAGACAGACCAGTTTTCCTTGTTTTATTATCATTTACTCCTTATTGCATTAAAAAATGCAATTAATAATCTCACATACCATTTCAGTGAAGTTTAAAGGCAGGTGAAATGGATAAGATTGAGGTCAGTTATCTGGCTGTGTGATTTCCTGAGCTGAGAGCTGGAGCAGTAACACTGTCATCTGGCAGAGCTGTGCCATGGGAAACTCACTTTCAGCACTGCATGTTGGCTCTAATCAAACATTTATTAGTGCACGAGACACAGCCACATTACACTGTAAAATCAATGAATATATTTACAGCCAATAAATTAATATTTGCAGGGTAAATACTTCTGTCTAGTTTTCACTTGTTTGAATAATTTCCTGGAAGCCATTCTTTGCAGGGTTCTTCTATACTTCAGTTTTGAGGTTCTTTATGTTAAGTCTTCAAAGAATAGTTTTTATTTTTGGTTGTAATGACAGAAAAAGAGGTCATACCCTAAGGTAACCAAATGTTGTCCACACAAGTGCTGTAGTTTCCAAATCCATGATTCCTCAGCCAGTCTCTCACCAGCAACCCAGGTGTCATTTGCTCTACTTTAACACTTGTGTAAAATCCCTCTCAGCTATCAGCCAATACTGCTGAGCTGTGGTCAGCCGAGCAAAAAATTGGTCTATTGCATGGTCAGGAAAAATAGGGGAAAAAGAAGAAAAGAGAAAGGAAAAGAAAGACAAAAAGGAAAAGAAAAAGAAAGGAAAAATCAGAAAGGCCCAAAAAGAGCTATGAGGGAGGATAGTTTTGCAACATTAAAGCAATTGAGTCAACCTTTTAAAGGAAGTTCCTATTTGTTATAGAGAGATAAAACACGCAAAAATGAATAAGACAATTCCAACAAAGCTCTCAAGAGACTTCTGTATGCAGGAAGGAATATTTTGGCTCTGTTAGCTGTCATGCTAATAATGAATTTAGCAATATACTTTTTCCTTCATTGTACAAAAAAAAAAAAAAAAAAAATTGAGAGGAAGGAATACCTCAGAGAAAGTTTTTTAGTGTTGGGTGTCCACACAGGAAACACATCAAAGAAACACCTATGCATCTCCCTTTTTAAAAAACTTTTTTTTTTTTCATTTTGAATTTATGTGTACACTGAGGATATGGGTAGGACTGACCTACTATCCCAGAACTGTGTGTAAAGTGAGGTGATATCCATAGATGCCTCCAGGAAGATTTACAAGGCAAATTGCTGGAGTGGAAGTTCCCCAGGCATACACATTTTACAGAGCTGGCTGCTTGCAGTTTGCTGAAAGCAATCACAGAGTGCAACTGATAAGGAGTGGGACTTTTTTAGCAGTTCTGCCACTGCTAATGGCAGAAAATGCTGGGCTCAGAAAAACTGGAAGCAGGGGTGGGAAATGGAACTAGAGCCTGCTTTTGT